TCTGAATAAGTTAAAAATTTATCTCTCGCTCTGCAGAATAAGAAAAATCGCGCGATACGATTTCAAGGTGAACAGCACGGCTATTCTCATTTAATTGCACTGCCTGAGATGATGCTTGATTGTAGCATCCACCACTTTTTTTTTTTTTGCCTACCTGTCATGATTTATGTGGCAACAAAATTATTTGCGAAGAGGAACCGGCGAAAGGGACAAAAGATTCGGTTCAAAAAAGGTCTTAATGGAAATAAACGGCCGTCGATTTTTTTATAGCTTTGCATCAAAAGTTTATAATATATAGTTGTTCGACAACTTCAGAGAGCAAGGAATATACAGAGAGCCGCATTTAATCTAATATAGCAGAAGGTAAACGTAAACAGCCGGTAGGTGCGTGCTTATAGACCTAGCGAAGGAGCGTGTTTATTTTAACTTGCCGAGGGAAAACCCGCACAGTGAATATCCACTTCATCGCAAGGTAATTAAAAGTTGCTTTGCAAATATTGTTGTGGGCAAATTTCTGCCGAAAAGAGGGAAAAATAAAAATAAAGAGAAATTGAGAAAATCATTAAGAAAAAATAATTTTTAATAAAAAACAAACATTTAAAAATAGCTAAAATAAAATAATTCAACTGCAAAACTAAAATAATATTTATTGCCAGTTTTTATTTTAAATTTCTAAAATTTGATAATAACTTATATTGTGATCTTCAGTATTTGCACTAACTCTGATATTTATTTGCAATTAATATTTCTAATGATTAAATTAGATCTTTTTTATTTTTAAATTAGTATCTGTTGAAAATAAGTGCCTGCGAGCGCCTGCCTAACCAGTCATTTTTCAATTTCATCACATTCCTTGGCATTCATTTATCTCTCGTCAAGCGTTCGTGCTGAATCTTTGTAGTGAGAAGCGCAGAAATTGAAGTGGAGCAGCCAAGAAAATAATGACGTGGTCGTCGTCGCTGGTGTGAAGAAACCAGCAGAATATTACATGACTGTGATACGGTATACTGAGACAAGTGCATTACTTGCAACTCGTTGTGCTCGTTGCTTCTTTTTGCAGTTGTACGTACAACAGCATTATTTCTACAACGTTTCACGAGAGAAAAAGAGAAAAAGAAAGAGGCTGTTGGACGTTTTTGTCAGCACGTCTGCAAAGTGTCGGATGTGCAGCCGGCTGCTGACATCACGGAGCTCCGACGAAAGGAGCAGGGCGTAAATTGCGACGATTACGAGGCGAAATTGGGAGATGCGGCCAAAAGAGAAAATTTTAAGTGCACGACATTGCACGAGAGTCTAATTAATAATTGGATTCCAAATGAAGATCAAGTCCACTGTTAGAAACATAATAAATGTATAATTTAAAATTATAATAAATATAGAAAAAAATAGCTCCACTTATAATTAAAAATTTAGCAATTTATTAAAAAACTATTAAATTAAATTTTGCAAATATTTTTGGAAAAATTAAGCTGATGCAATCAGCCCTTCAAATTAATCATCCTATTTTCATGGAAAAAGAATAGAAAAAAAAAATTGACAGTTGCAATAATTTCTGTGTCTCATCCCTCTCCGAGCATAAAATTACTCGTAAACTGGTGTAAAGAAGGCGAACAAGCCAGATTGAGTCAGCGCTGCTTCTGCAAATGAGCTTTGCAAAACGAACGGGCGCACTGCGGCACTTTGCATCAAGGAAACTGCGTGTGCATACCATTGAAGCTCGCGGGCATGGCTGCTATAGAGTGTTTACATCGAGCCATCAAGCCTAAATATAGCCGGCAGAAGCGCAGACTGGCCGCGCCGTACATTAAATTTGTTTTAATTAATTTCTTGCCGCCTCCTTTTGTTTATCTCGCGAGCTAATTTCGCGTGCAAAAAGGCTGGATGCTAATTAGTCCGAGTGGGCGCCACCTGGTAGTACAAGGCGGACTTTTGTTTCGCAAGAAGAGGGTTATTCGAAAACAAAAAAAGTCATAACGAGAGGATGAACGAGTTTTTCGTCATCAGCTACGTGCATTTTCCCATCCGCGGCGCGTTTCGTTGGTCTTGTTTTACATGCAAGTGCGCCTTTAAATTCCATGGCAGCCTCTAAAGGCGTTAATTATACTCGATTCGAGAAAATTTTTGTACATCAATTAAGTTGATGACGACGGTTGTCATTAAGCTTGTTTCATATAAATTTTGTAAATATTCTTGACATTTTCCGCCAGCAATTTGTAAAATTAAATTGCTCTGAAAAGATTAAACGAGTTTAAACAAGCAAGAAAACAAGGAAAAAGTTTGTTTTTGATAAAGCAGTGGAAAATAAGTAGCAGGAGAACAAAAACTTCAATATTAAAGTTTCAAAAAAATTTAGAAGTTATTACTTTAAATTATCGGGGAATATAAAAATAATTATAGTTTCTGCCCATAACGGAATAAATTCACAATTAATTTTTTGCTTCAAAATAATAAATAACATGTCACGCTATTTAAGCATTGTCATGACAAACTTGTAAATTTTCACCTTCATGCCGTCCATGCCCACTTTTGTGACGGCCAGCAGAAAAAAATCCCAAGAGCATCATTGCAAAAGTATAAACACTTCTCACTCACAAGTGTGAGTAGAAATACCATTGAATCATTGACGAAGGTCTGCTTCGGCAAAATGCGGTACTCGTTTATTTTTTTCTCTCTGTTCATTACTAATAGTAAAGGCGCAGAGCAAAGAAAGAACAAAATAACAAGTAAGGCTCGGCCGAGTTGCATCCTTGAGTTATTATGCTGCGAGAGTGAATCACTCGGCTGGACAAATTAATCGTTGCAGTGGGTGGCGCCGTTACGCAAAAAAGACTCGTTGGTTTTTTTCCACGGGTCTAACTATAAAGGCGCCTGTTGCCGAACGGGCGGACGAGCCAACAAACGCGCCGGTTTTACAGTTACCGAGCTTTTGCCCCAACGGCTTAGCTACACAGCAGAGTGACCCACATTTGCGTCTTTCATTATGCCGACGTTCCTTTTTAACTCCATCCCTAGAGTGTTATAATGTGCTCGAGAATTACACAGGTCTGCATTATTTTGTTATCGAGACGACAGGCGAAAATGTTGGGGACACTTCTTGCTGGCGGACGGAATTTGGAGCGACGGGTTAAAAATAAGCACAAGATCTCTCGCGTTTGCTCCAAATATTTCGTGGGAGATTTCCAAAAGACGGAGCGAGAATTTCATTTGATAAAAACTTTACCGCAGCGTTTATCCGCTGCTTCGTGCTGATATATAAATTTTACGGTCTATGCATTCAAACTTATCTCAAAAGATGAAAGCAAAAAGTTCTATTGTTATATTGTCAAGTGGAGAAAGTCCTTAAGATGAGTGTCTGAGGCTCAGTTTTTAGCGCCTTCGATCCACTCCAGCAACCGTTCAAAACTATTTTTTTTTCTATTCTAATAGAATTAAGCAAATATGAAAGTAACAGTCAATGCTAATCAAAAAACAAAAACATTTGCTGTTTGCAAATAAAAATATTTTAACTCTCCATGAAACTTTTATTAGTTGTTTTATATAGATAAAATTTATTTTTAACTCATCTCTCCGACCAGTCATTACGGAATATTGGCAAACCAGTTGGCATCGGATCCGCTCGAAATTGGCCCCGCCGTGTTTCTTTCCACTTTAACAAATTCCAGCGGCGTTTCTGTAGCCTACTTTTCCCATTCGCCGGCCATCGTCTTCCTTCTGCGCGCAAAAGTCACTAACCTTATGCGCCCAGGCGTGCGTTATTATTTTCCTCACTGGCGCATACCAAGGCTTGTAATAATATTATGCAAAGAAACTGGCCTACCCCATGGAAAAGTTCCCTTTTATTTCGAAAGGTCTGCAGTAGGTGGAAGGTCGCGACTTTATTTATGTACGGAGGCAGTCGTCCTCTCTCTGTTTCTTTCTCCCTTGGAGACAGAGAGGCACACGCGTTTTTCCACGAGATGCATTCGTTCTTCACCATTATTATTATTAATTCTATATGCACTTATTTTCAAAGAGTGCATTTCTATCCGCTCCAAGACACGTAGCGAGCAGGCGCGATATTGGGTCAAGGTGACGCACAAAGGTTATTCACTCCTTTGCCGGTGTCCGATTAATCGATGCATTATTACTGCGTTTAACGCTCTCGTGCTATCACCCTTTTATTGGATTAATTTTGTTGATTCTCCGCGTTTTATGGCTTGTTTGTGCGTTTGGCTCCTCGAAAACACGCAATTTACAAAAAAATAATCATAAAATAAAATTGGCCTTGGTTGGATTGATCTCTGAATTTGAAAAAAAAAATCATTTGTTGCAAAATTTTATTTATTGACCAAATTAAGCCTTGAAATTTACTTTGATTTATTTTCAAATTAAAAAAAAAAAAAAACTTTAAAACTGCCTATGAAGATTTTTTTAAAATTTAAGGCGTCAAAGATAAATTAAGAGTTGTCAGAGTAAGCGGATTGCATTGGCGTAGAGCACCGTTCTACTTTGAAGCTGACAAGGAAGGCCAACTGTAATTTCAATTGCTCACAATGCTATTCTCGGACTCGATTACTAACTCTGAACTTGTTGCTCATTAACCCACTGACAAGCAAATCGCCAAAGCTGTGCCCAGTTCAATTTCGAAATCACAAACAACCATAATATCCTCTTCTGCTGAGAACCACATCCGCTAGCGATTAAAACCACATGCGTGCCGCTCTAAATACAAATAAATTTCCCTGGCACAATATTGTCCTCTATCGATTTTTAAAAAGAGCCCTTCAACGCGCAGATTGACGTTTGAGAAAAACGCCAACATCTGGAGCGTGCGGTAGTAAAAAGATTACAATCCCCGTCCGTCTTTGTCAACCGGATTTCACTTTTCCAAGAAAACTCCTTGCTTGAAATAAAAGAGGGCGATAAAAATGAACCGCGCCGGAAAAGTTTTCCCTTTTATTTTCGTTAGGAGGAAAAAAATATACTTTGGGACTGACGTCGTCTTTATTTTCTGTTTGCAGTGGTGCTGGGCTCCACCCTGACTGACGCCATCAAGTGCTACCACTGTTCCGTGAAGCCGGCCGTCGTGCAAAGGGGCGCGAAGGAAATGAAACCGCCCTGTCAAATGTTCACCCCTTCCAAGGAGTACGAGATCGAGTGCGGCAACTCGACCTACTGCATGAAGCAGACCTACAACTTCACCCTTCTAAATGGTAAAAAAAATCTTCCTCCGCATTTCTCCGTAGTGAATTTTTAATCTTTCGGAACACTTGTGGCGATGAAAAGTCGCGTGCATGCGAAATGGCGTGGAAAATTGGCTGTCGGCGAACAAGCAAGTCTCGTTTGTCAGCAGCGCAATTTTTCCGAGAAGAGGGCGTAAAGGGAATTAGTTTTTCCGTCTCGAGGCTTATTTGCCGGCAGAGAATAACATTGCTGAGAGCTAAATTCAAAAGAGTTCAGTTTGCTTTTTTTTTCTTTTCCTTTTTCATAGAACTTATTTGAATTGGTCTTTTGCTGTATTAAAATTGAAAATACAAGGAAATTTTAAAATTGTATATAGTAATAAAATTTATAATTTTCCTAGTTTGGGAACGAAATATCAAATGAGTTAACTAGATAAAGATTTTTATTTTTTATAAGATAAAAGCACTAAATAAGCAGCACTTTTCAGAGTTCAAAGCTCGCTTCTTCCTTGTAATTATCCACCCAAATTATAATTATAGGACCACTCTTAACTGTAATTTTTCCAATTAGGGATTTTTATAATCTCTTCTTCTGAAAACCCAAGATTCGCTCTCAGCTTTCTGGGCTGGCAAACTTTATTTTATTTAATCATGTTTTGATTTCACGTTTCCCTTCCGAACAAACTTTCACGCAATGAAACCGGAACTAACGAACTCTTTCCGATGTTTCAGGTTCGGTGACGACTGTGGTTCAGCGTGAGTGTGCGCCGCAAACGGCGCCGTACCAGGTGCTGGTGGGCAACAAGTGGCAGCGCAAGGTCAAGGTGCAGGAGGACGCGTATGAGGAGGGTTGCATAATCCAGAGTCCGGACCACCCTATCAAGACGACGCCGACCGAGTATTGCTATTGCAGCAAGAATTTGTGCAATTCGGGCAAGTCGACGCACGACGCGACCTCGGCAGCGCACACGGACGCCATGGCCGTCATTTTCGTCTTCAACGCGATGAAGTACATTCGCAGTCTGCGATAGCACCCTGATCTAAATCTTCCATTGATACTAGTGTAATGAATTATAAACACGTGAAACGCATGATACGAGTGGACATGCTGAAGTGGCTGTGACCGATAGATCAAAAAATCGTGGAATCCGCATAATTATGTTATTAAGTGGGCCGGATGCAAGTGCTCCGACCTAAACTACTATTGACAGTTATAAGTTATATTTTGTATTTTGTTACTCCATATGTGTGCCTCTTAAGACGAAAAAAGAATAAATGTGTATTGTATGTGTTGCAGAATATGAAATTTTGCATTTGATTAATTCGTATGCCTAAATATTCTTTTGAATTTATCAATTGATATATATTATTTACTTTGAATATAATTTGTTTTTCACCATTTTTTCTTGCAAAAATTTAAAGCACTTGAAATATAAAAGCTGATAAATTATTTATAAAACTTGATACTCAATCAAAAAATGATGAAATCTTTTAGATAAATAAAATAATTTAACTTCATAATGATTTAAAGAATACAGTGAGGAGCATTTAAAAGATCCAATGGTTTTCTCGGATAAAAAAATATATATATATATAAATTTTTTTTAATCTTTGAAGATTTGATTTTTGATTACTCAAATTGTAGATTAAAATAAACTGCTTGATTTCTAGGAAAATTTCCTTATTTTCTATAAAGTCGAAACTCTATACTTCTTGCAAGATGATATTAGTCCACTTTAATCATTATCCTATGACTGTGGTTTTGCCGTTTCATGACCAGATAAAATTTCTTAGGTGCGGTTTTCATGAACTTAATAGGCACTGCCTTAAAACCTAGCTTTCCATTATTAAATGAAAATAAAATAAATCAATCAAAGATGACGCTCTCTGGCCTACCTCATTGCTGTGCTCTACTAGAAACAGGAAGACGACATCCTCCCTAGATAGTCTAATGGCAGAGTGCAGCGGAAACCGAGTCTTTGATTTCAGCATCGTGTATAGCAAGGGAGCTGTCATGTGGGCGAAGTCCTCACTTGTAAACTCATCCTAAACCAAACGCAAGAAATTAATTGAAAGAACAAATAGCAGATTTTTATGAAGATACCCAGTGCGTTGATATAAGTTGGGAACAGTGCTCCTGGAGGATTTTTGCTCCTATCTCTTCAGCAGTCGTGTAAAGGCGAACACAATTTGTCACTCCAACCGTCAACAGCAATCTCTGTTCGCATCTGAAGAAAAAGATTTGCTCAATTCAATAATGATAATTTGTTTCTCAATCACTTTTGAATAAATTTTAAAATAACATCTTGTCTTGATCTCAAGCACATATATATTTTTGTTTTACTAAAACATTCTTATTTTTGAAAATTTTAATTAGGGATATTATAAATTTAAGCTTAATTAATTGCAGTGCCAAAAATATAATTAAAATAACCCTTGAGTGTTTCTTGAATAAATAAAAGAATCTTAACTGAGTGTTGACGGACAGCCTAATTGTAAAGCTGTGCAACCATATGCAGCAAAAAATAAAGGTACTGATAATGGTGATTTGAATTTAAAATCAGCTTTTCCTCGATGGGTTTTTGTGAGTTGTTTATTGTTTTAGAAAAACAACTCACAAAAACCTATCAAGGAAAAGCCGATTTTAAATTCAAATCACCATGAATTAACCCTCGATCGTGAAATTCTACCACAAAAGCACTGATAATAATTGATAAGTCTTGTGAGCTACAATATTCTGTAAACATACCGCTTGGCCAATTCCAAAAGGTCTAAGCGGAATGCCACTTTCATCAATTCAAGGCAGAATGGGTCTTTGATTGAGTCCAAATTTGCTTCTCCAGTGTAGACCCAAGAGAGCAAAAAATTCATCACGGCGGCGTCGTCTCCACTCCAATCTTAAAAAGTAAATCCAAAAAACAAATAAGTGACAAAGTGATAGTTTTAATTTTTGCGGCAATATGAGAGATAAATAATCAGAGCACAATTTTAAACTTGACTTATTTAATACAATTTTGAAAAGAGCTATGGTCAGAAGTAATTTACAAGAGTATGTGGAAAGTAAACATTGTCTTGCAGTAAGAATTTAAGAAATAATTTCACAACTTCTATGAAAGTTTTCACCTAACGATGTTGCGGAATCCAAATTTTCCACTCCCCACTTGCTGCTTCGGGCTTTGAGGACAAATTTGTGAGCAGGCACCATTTCAGCATTTGACAGGAGAATCTTCAGGTCGCTAAAATTATGGGATAATTAGACTCATGTTTTAATTATATTCTTTTTGTGTGAATGAATTAATAACTCTATTAAAGCAATCAAGTAAAAGAAAGCAGACGAACTTTCAATGAAATTAATTATGTATGCATTCAATAATTTTTTATGCACGAGCACGTGCCTTCAGAACTTGAGGGACCACTTTGACAGTCTCATTGTAATTTTTTTTGGCGCCTTAAAATTTACCTGTACTGCTCCTGCTTCAAAAGGGCGGCGACAGAGGCGATGATTCGGCTGGCGAATGTGTCGGCCGAGGCGTCGTGCGCCGACACGAGGGCCAGCTTCCTCTCGAGTTCGGCACAGTGGCCCTGAAGTTTGACGTACTCCCTTTTCAGCAGGGTCAGGTGCTGTTGCAGTTTGCCAGTTTCGGAGTCCATGGTGCGCTCAGGGCGCGCCGACATGATTCCTCTCGCCGCCTGCCTGACAGACGAATCGCCGAATTCGACGAGCAGTCGGACCAAATGCGGTGCAAGGACAAGCGTGGAAAGAAAGTCACCCGCCGGAGAAAATATTCACGCGATCCTAATTTTTAATGAGCACCGCGTTCACGCCCACTTTAATGACAAAATAAATTCTTTTGAAAACAAACCAAACTACTTTCAAGTAGCGCCGCGTTTGGTCGGTTTGCGAACTTTTTGCACGGTCCAACACGCAGTAAAGCAACCTAACAAAAATTAATGATTGCAAAACAATTTAAAATCTTAAACATTTTTAAGTATTTTAGTATACAATATTTTGTTTTTATGTTTATAAATTTAATTTAAAATTTAATTTTTATATTTTTTGGAAAATAAGCGAGGTAAATACTTTGAGGTTAACATATCATTTTGGCTACATTTCCCGTTGTTTTGATCCATGCTCATATGACCCATGACGACTGTGCTCCTATGTTTATAATGAAAGATTCTTGACCTTCTTACGAATTAATTCCTGTTCGTCAACGTATTAATTACGCGTAAGTAGGCAGCTTTTTTTATGAACTCAAAAAGACAGTCAAACCAACCAACAGTCACGTTCTCTCTTTATTTGCCCTGAGACGGCTGCGACGATGCTCCTGCAATTGAGGCGCATTTTCTTAAAATTTAAAATCTCCCTGTAAATTGCAAATCTTTATGGTAACATCGCTTGAATATTTTCAGCTGCTCTGCTTATGTAATTTACATAAAAAATGAGCTCTTCGAACGAGCTAATTCACAGTCAAGAGTATCTCAGCTTTCGTAGCAGCATCCCATTGCGGCGCATCTCTGTGGACTCTGACGCTTCAAAGGTTTCAACTTTGGCATTTGAAATTATTGCGTGTACATTATTAACTTTTTTAATTTTAGGGATGGAAAATTTACGACTCTGGACCGAAATCTGTTAAAGTTCCAATAATATGTCTTCCACCGGCCAGCGGAACTGCTGATGTATTTTTCAAGCAAGTGTTGGCGCTCAACGCCAAAGGCTTTAGGGTCATTGCAGTAAGTAAAAAATGCAGTTATATTAGTCAAATATTAAGTAAATTAATTTCAGGCTGAACCCCCAGCATACTGGACTGTAAAGGAGTTTTGTGAAGGGCTGAAGAAACTTATTGATCACCTCGGCTTGCTCAAAATCCACATTTTTGGTGCCTCATTAGGTTGGAATTTTATAGCTAACTTTTTCTTTTTTACATTGTATTTTTAACAGGAGGCTTTCTCGCTCAAAAGTTTGCCGAATACACATCCAACTGCTCTCGAGTTGCTTCCCTAATTCTGTGCAACTCATTCACCGACACATCAATATTCAATTACGCAGACACAGCTTCGTAGTAAGATTGAAAATTTATTTCTTGGTACAAAATAATTTAGTAAAAAATAATTATTTTCCTTTCAGTTTTTGGATGCTTCCATCTTTGGTGTTGAAAAGAATGGTCATGGGAAACTTCTCTAACAAGATTGTAGATTCCAAAATAGCCGACTCAATTGATTTCATGGTTGACAGGGTAATTATCTTATTATAAAAATATAAAAACCATTAAAATTGAATAGTTTTTTAGGTAATGTTATAGTACGCGCGACGTGTTTCCCAAAATCCCTGATTTCAGTTGGCATCACTTGCATTACGTCGCGCGTTTAATAGTGGTTTTACGTCGCGCATACAATAATGGTTTTACGTCGCGCGCTCAATACTGGTGGCGGTAAAATTGTTAAGAAAACCGATTATTCCATCGATACCTCGGCAACATGCATAGCACGCGCGACGCAATTCTTTTACTACAATCTTAATTAAGGGGACTGCTAGGAAGAATAGGGGCCCTTGGGATGGGTTCAGAATGGGGCAAGACGACCTCTGGAGGGCCGTGCGCACCCGTATAGCAGGCGCGACGTATTACTATGGGACGCGCGACGGTCGAAAAAGCGAACTCCGGAGGGCGCTTTTCACCATCGTCAGAGGCGCGACGCATGGTTATAGGACGCGCGACGCATGCTTATAGTACGCGCGACGCATGCTTATAGGAGGCGCGACGCACGAAAAATTAATTATTTCAAAAGGTGTTGCACGCAGCCGGAGTTGTGGGCACCCCACGAACCGGCAACTCGGAGTTGGGCAACCCCCAAGATTAATTTTTGCAGAAGCCGCGAGCGAGGGGTGGAGGCGCAGCGAGGTCGAGGACGTGGGGAAGGCCGTGCGGAGGGCGAGGACAAAAGGGCGGCTGTGTTCATGAGGGGGCTCCGCAGGAGCCCCCTCACGATCCCCGCCCTTTTGTCCCGCCCGGAGCCGGCCTTCACCACGTTCTCGGGCGAGCGCGCCTCCAGCCCGAAGCTCGCAAACCCACAACGGAGTTGCTTACAAAAGGAATTGTCTGCAAAAAGGGCTTAGAAAGCAAAAAGTGTGGTGCCCACAACTCCCTTTGCAGACAACACCTTTTGTGGGCAACTCCGTTGTGGGTTTGCGAGCTTCGGGCTGGAGGCGCGCTCGCCCGAGAACGTGGTGAAGGCCGGCTCCGGGCGGGACAAAAGGGCGGGGATCGTGAGGGGGCTCCTGCGGAGCCCCCTCATGAACACAGCCGCCCTTTTGTCCTCGCCCTCCGCACGGCCTTCCCCACGTCCTCGACCTCGCTGCGCCTCCACCCCTCGCTCGCGGCTTCTGCAAAAATTAATCTTGGGGGTTGCCCACCTCCGAGTTGCCGGTTCGTGGGGTGCCCACAACTCCGGCTGCGTGCAACACCTTTTGAAATAATTAATTTTTCGTGCGTCGCGCCTCCTATAAGCATGCGTCGCGCGTACTATAAGCATGCGTCGCGCGTACTATAACCATGCGTCGCGCCTCTTACGATGGTGAAAAGCGCCCTGCTGAGTTCGCTTTGCCCTTCACTGGATTTACGGCCCGTCGCGCGTGCTATAAACATACGTCGCGCCTGCTATAAGGGTGCGCACGGCCCTCCGGAGGTCGTCTTGCCCCATTCTGAACCCATCCCAAGGGCCCCTATTCTTCCTAGCAGTCCCCTAAATTGGGATTGTATTAAAAGAATTGCGTCGCGCATGCTATAGAGGTTTCCGTGGTGATCGGGAAATAAAATCGGTTTCCTTAAAAATTACACCGCCACCAGTATTGTACGCGCGACGTAAAACCATTATTGTATGCGCGACGTAAAACCACTATCGAACGCGCGACGTGATACTTTTACATGGGAGCATAAGTGCTGCCAACTTATGAAAAAACACGTCGCGCGTACTATAACATTACCGTTTTTTATGCTTCTAAATATAAAATATAAATGGTCTTCATAAGCTGGCTTAATAAGAAGTGTAATGAAACCTTTTAGATTCATCTTTCTAACTGCATAATTTTAATTTGCAATTGAAAAGTTATAAAACCAGTTTAATTTGCAAAGAAGTGACAATATCAAATAAGTCGATAATTATAATTTGATTTTCGTAATTTTGTCCCTCTTAGCTGGAAAGCCTTACTCAACCAGAACTAGCTTCAAGACTTACCCTAAATTGCCTGGAATGTGCAGTGCAACCCCAAAAACTCTCTGGTCTGAAAATTACTCTGATTGACGTTTTCGACGAGTACGCTCTCTCAACCCAAGTCAGGGAAAACCTGTACAAAAGCTACCCCTCGGCCAAGTTGGCGCATTTGAAAAGTGGAGGGAACTTTCCTTACTTGAGTCGATGCGACGAAGTCAATCTTCACATTCAGGTAGGAGTTTTCACTGTTATTTCCCTTTTAATTCTAAGTCAATCTCATTCGAAGCAGATTCACCTGCGATCCTTTGAAGATACTAATCTTTGGGCTGCTGAGCCTTTGAATAATACAGAAAAGTCACATTAACCAAGGAGATACCCACACAGGAAACAAATTGTGATCTGCACATTCTTTTGTATTGTTTCTAAAATCCACAAGCTGTAACTGCGCTATACCGAAAGTGATAATAATTAAGGGCTTGCAAACAACAATCTTTGTTTATTCCTAATTTTGTAGATTAATTTTTCAAACTTGTAATTATAAAATATAGATTAAATTTAATTTAGCCTGAAGTTTTGTATTATAGTGGTGCATGGCTATAAAAATTGAGTATTTTGCTTAAATGGAAAACAAATAAATACCAAGTTGAACTGAATTAAACTATACTTTTACTTCTTTAACTCTTACTATCGGTCGGCCAAAGCAAACGTGCTCGAGATTATTTACTAGGTCGAGAGTTTTTAGTTTTAATTGCAAGAGACGCTAGGGGATTACTTGCAAATTAGCGGAGAGTGAAATGTCAAGGAGATTATATGCACTTGCGGCTGCTTCAGTTTTTTCCGCAGATCTTGTCACGCACGTAGGACGTGCCTTTGATCATAGCTAGAACCTTTCTCCATGAGAATTTGCACGCAAAAAAGTGCGAATGAAAAATAAAAAGTAGAGATATATGAGCATTTCGAGTCCGGTTCGAAGAGACAGGTCAACTTTGTAGTACCCGTCACACACTCCGAGGTAAAAGTTTAATGAGCAACTCAAACTTGCGTGCTTCTTGTATCGCTCACAGACGGATTCGCTTTTGACCTTTCACTGTCGATTACCTCTATTTCCAGATTAAAACGTGCCAGGTTATACGATTTTAATTAGGTGTGAATTAAAAGCAAATCAAAAAAGTGCATTTGTCGAGTGGGATGTAAAATTACGCAACGATTATTTCTGCTTGGAACTCGTGAAAATAGAGAGAAGCAGCTTTGTTTTTTGTGATGTAATTTGGCGCTCAAGGAACGCGTCATTGTCTTGCTCTTTGACATTGTTAAGATTCAGCTCGGCGCTTCTGCGAAGAAAAACGGCAGTGCAATTTTATGGCTCTTGCCGGATTTTAGAGAGCAAATAAATAAAATCTGGCGTGTGCTCGCCGCCCGTGTGTTTAATAAGTCATGAAACATCAATTAATCCCATCTCACCGCGTGAAAGCTGCGTCTGCCAGTTTGATAATAATTGTGTACCGGCTCCCAGGAGGAAATGAATTTTGCATGTGTGAGGAGGAAGCGGCATGTTGAATTACTGAACATACTTTTTTATTATGATGTACTCACAAAACTTCAATTATTATTTTAATTATAAGCGCACTGGTATAAACTCTGAGAGCAAAAAGCAAATCGTGTCTTAGTAAATTTGAGAAAAATCTCCAAATGTGTTTTTTTTTCTTTACTTTAATCCCAGATACACATTGTATGATAACAATTTTCAGTGGCTTAAATTAGTATAATTTAAATTAACTTCTTTGGCACATAGTTGTTTGTACTAAAAATCTTAATTCCCTTTTTTAATTATTTTATTTGTTTGTTCAAGGCAATCAAAAGTATATTTTGATTGCAAATTAGATTAAATTTGGCTGAATGCTAAATCTTGCTGAGCATTGTAAAAAAATTAATGTCCAAGTTATGAAAATGCAATAAAGACTAATGAAAAACGTGTAAAAGTATTATACTTGCGTAATTACAATTGAAAGCCTTCAGAAGGCCAAATCGTGTTAAGTAAATTTTTTATTGAAATATTTTAGCCAGTGATTTTTTATAATATTAGATTTTGTTGTTGTTGTAGAGAAATTAAGAAAAATATATTGTAAAAATATATTTATTTTTATTTTCCTTACAATTAGCTTCTTTTAATTTATCTCAAAACTGACAACCTCTTCTATTCAATGGGGCATCAAATCTGAAGTATTGCAATTTTGAATGTTGTGACAAGCATGAGATTTTACTGGTATGGTCATCGCTCGTCGTTTATTTCTATTATGCAAGTGCATATATGTGCGATTCAACAATGGTACCAACACGCTTTGTATGAAAAGTTCATTCTGCACATATCCCAAACACTAGGACATATTGCATCTGTGAATCTAGAGCCTCTAGGCGAGTGTGATATTCTCACAGGTATAAGTGCATTCCGCAATTATCGAGATTCGTTTCGCCTTGGCGGTTTTCCTCCATCTTTCACACATCCTGCTGAATCCGTGCATTATTGCTGAATTACTTAATTAAAATGGAATCGACTGCTGCAACTATACATTTGAGTCGATTGTATTATTTTGCCATTCAAAAGGCCAGGATCATCGGTCAGAGCAGAGGAAAGTAATCAGCGCACCATTAAACAAATCCTAGAAGGGAACAGCCTTGTGATTGATGATGCACACAAAAAGACTGCAATGCTCTTATTTTATTATTGTTGTGTTCGATTTGCCGCCGCGTGCAGTTTTGTTTGTTGGTGGCGACGAGTGCAAAACACACAACAATGTGCTCGAGACAAATCACGATTTTCCGAGAGCGCGGGCGATGAAATACCATTGATCTCATTATTGCCAAACATGTACATTAATGCACGTTATTATGCACAAATTTTAATTTATTTTGAATCTGAAAAAACAAAAGTTTATTAAAAATGATAACATACTATATGGTCATTTAGGCAATTTATTTTGTTCACTTTTCTTTTGAGCAAATAAATTTTTAAGAAAATAAATAAACACTCATGTTCAATATTCGCCAAGCGTTAAAACAAATCATTCATTCCAATCGATTTTTATTTATAAATTCAAATTATTGATATAGAGAGAAATAAAAACAGAAAATGTCTGTTTTTTTTTTTTTTTTTTTTTTTTAATATTTTCAGGCTACTATTATAAGCAGTGTGTAAATATACTGCATTTAAGGGTGTTTCTACGATAATGCGGCGCAGAAGAATTGTAAATATTTTTATTTTTTCTGAAAATATTATTATCGCGCCACACAACGTCGGTGATTTTAGGCCGGTTTTCTGAATAGTTAATTAAATACCGGTATGTAAAATATTTTTTAAAAATGCTTATAATTTTGGACTGAGGAGTGGTATTATTATAAATATCGTATTTTTCCATCATAAACTAATGCACAAACCTAAATTTATACAATATACATGTTTTTCGTCGCAAAAAGTCCAAATTTTGGTGAAATTAGAACTTGCATACCGGTTTTTATTACACAATAACCGGTATATCTCAATATCTGTCAGAAGAAACCGAAATTTTTTCGTACCAACGTGAAGTTAGCCACTATAGCTTTCGAATGAGACCATAAAAACGATATGTTTCTTGCCTTTTTAAATTTTGGCTGATGGATATAAAACGGTTTTGTTAGTTTTCCTGCTTCCGAGATAGGGCTATTTTTGAAAATCGGCTGTAACTATTTTTTGGGCAGATGAAATTTTCTGAAAATTTAGACACATATTAAGGATGTGATAACGAATCGGCCAATGTGCCATATGACCACACTTTCTTGGCTTTCCCGCATTTTCCAACCCTATTTGACCCTTTTTGGGAAATTTTGGATTTTCTCAAAAATGGAAAATGCAAAAATAATTTCCTTTGGGGAAGTTTGTGCCTATGAGTGACGTCAAATTTTGGCTATCTCAGATTTAATTTTCCGGTTGCATACCTTCAGGGGCAGGCATTGAAGTATTTTTACCCTGATTTCAGGGTACTTAACCCTTTCATAGAAAATAATTGTTAATGTAAAAAATATTGGAAATTTTATCAGCATTCAGAATATATGCTCGTTTTTAACGTAGGACTTATACTTAATGAGATACAAGCGGAAAAGCAAACCCCTTTATAACTCAGCCATTTTCCGGAAAAGTCGGAAATTTTTTTCATAAAAGCTCTTATAATGGGCAAATAAAAGAGAAAAATTTGTTGGAAATATTTTGCAGTCATTTTTTCAAAATATTTGCAAATTCAGTGGGCGTACCCTACGATGATCGCCGAAACAGCCTTAAAAAATATGCTCCTGAATACATTTCACTTTTATATAATCATAAGCACACTTTCTTCTCTCAATATAATCGGATTTTTAAGATTGCCTCGATTGGCCGTATCGGCGATTTTGAAATTTTTAAAGTAACTCTCTGTTCTGCATGACCACAACTTGTAAATTTTATTACTTATTAAGCGCGTTTTCGTCAGGAGCTTACACTTGCGAAAACTGCAAGCTAATTACTTGAAATTCGCGCAAGACAAAAGAGAAAAATTGCAAAATCTTTTTCTTATAAAATTCTATTTAATTTTTCGAGTGCCCTCCATTCCATTAACCAATTTTTCCACGGTCACCGCCGACCGAATTTTCAAGACACACTTTATTTGCGTAAATAAGCGTTATGGCCATTGTCGATTTGGAAGAAGGCAAATAATGATTGTGGCGCGCGCTCTTGCAACTCAAAACGTCATGCAAATAAAAACCACAATGGAATCCACAGAGACTTCAAAAGGCGCCGCGTGACATCTCATTTGATGAGCAGGGCATATTTAATTTATTATTTATCTCGGCCACGGTGTGGGCGTTTGTGGGTGAGTGCACACCTTTTATTAGCATTCTCTTGAACGATTTGCCGTGCTTTAATTGCGCTCACCTTGACAAAAAAGACGTATAAAAAATATCAAAAGCGCTGCGCTTTTCTTTACAAAACAATCGCGTGTTTACTTGTGCGGCCCGAGAGAAAGAGATGATTGCTCGGTTAACAAAAACTTCTTCCAGAGAGATATATCAACATGTGGGAGGAATGACTCGGAATATAATAGAAAACATCAGCCACTTCTTGTGTTACGCAAATCAGTTCGATACATCTCGATGAAAGTTGAAATTTCTCAAAGGAAAAAAAAATAAGACATATCACTTTTCATTTAGTTCTATATTTCCCAATAATTTATAATCTGCAGTCGAAAGAGAGGAGCTTCTTTTGTTCCAGTTCAAGAACATATCAAGAATAAAGGGTCATTAAATGGGGTATGTGATTCGCGTTGTTGAAAGGTCGTGATCAGCGATAACAATCAGGGCGCCTAGGATACTCGGCACATCGTGAATCACGGCTGCTGAATTGCAAGCAATAAGTGAGCACCAAGCAGTTTAATAGACTTTTAACACTAAAGTTGATTTTTTAGAAAAAAGTCATGTTTGTGGGAATCAAATTGAGAATCATAAAAAAATTCATATACCAAATTCAAAATTTCAAAGGTTTTGTTCCAAGCCAGTTCAATGTTTTATGTTGTTAGTCTCAAGAAAATTTTGCATTGTATCATTTTTTTTAAATAAGTTTATTTGAAAATCATTTCATGAAGGTTTTTTTTAATAAATCAGGAGCGAAAAACTTTGAAACAATAGTTAAATGAATGAAATAAATCTCCCTTTTTTTTAGCTGATTTAATTACTTTAATAGCATACATTTTAAACGACTGAACATGTAATCTTTACTAATTAAATTAAATAAGAAAAAATTAGAATGTGCACCATCATTTATTAATTCTAGCAGCAGAGAAGTGTTCTTCTTACAAAGCTCGCTCAACTTATGACCCTTGTTGAATAAAAGGTGACGGATTAGAGCAGTGCAGTAATTTATGCATCCAGATTGAGAAATCAAAAGCAAATACGGTGCGCGCATTCATCTCTCTCTGGCGATTTAATAAAACAATGAGGCGCATCCACTTATTACATGCGCGGTGCTGCATCGGCTGCTTCGGCTTCTGGCAGCCAGCAAAAACACGAACACACCGATTCTTGCGTCGCTTCTTATTTAAAGTGGAACTTTCTCTGATATTCACATCTGTCTGATCAACTGACTTGATGTGCGCTTCTTTATGTTCAGTGGCATACACGCGCGGAATTTCAATTGGCGATGTCCGTGCAATTGATGTTTATTTGTACAGCACAATTATTCCGACAATTAAGTTTGAAAATTTACACAATTACCTCATTTGTTACTTAAAAGATTCCTGCCGACTCATTAAGATTTTTTATCATTCTAAAAAAATCAATCATGGCGATCGAACAATAATTTTCAATTTTATTTACAAAAGTTAAAAGCAATAACTTATGGCGTGCGAGTTTTAGAAAACTAGTTTGCACGAATTGCACACTATAAAAGAAATTTTACATCAAAAATAATTTTGTACCAAAATAACAATTTAACTTGAGTTTGATTCCTCGTTGCCGCAGCTAAAAAAACTTGTTGTTTTTATTACCTTTCGTTACATCAATTTAATAATTAAAACGTCATTAACCTGAACAGCGACGAGACACGCACGCTCTAACCTTATTCCTAGTAAAAAAGAGATAGAACAACAATCACTTCCCTTTTTTACTGCACAGTGTAATACATCCATGCTGCCAAAAAAATTAGATTTTATCTAAACAAAGCTTTAGCATTTTTATGATAAGAGGAGAAAAAAGTGAGCGTTTGACTTTTAGCACCGCTTGAACCGCTTCATGAAATTACGCTAATTAAATTAATTTATTATCCTTTGTTTAACAAATCAAACAAGTTTTCAAAAGTTTCTCCGCAGGGGCACTTTCCTATTTTCCCAGCAAAGGTCGCGTAGGTTATAAGTTGTTTGTGTTAAGCTTCTGCTCGGCCAATTGAGTGCTACATTTTTTTCAGCACAGCATTCTGCATGTGCGCGCGCGTAATACGAGCGGCTGGGCCAATATTTGCTCGGGCGTGGAGATGACGAATTTTATTTGACATAACTCCAACCCACTGTGTGCATACAAATTTCACTTTTTATTGTAAAAATAGAAGAAATGTGTCACGGAAAACTAATAATAAGGAGATATAAGTTCTTGTCAGGCGCGCGTCTTTGTAATATTTTAGATGTGGAATTCGCAATTTTTCAGAATGAAAAACGTACACGTCGGAAGTGCCGATTTTCAGTAGAGATGAAAAGGAAAGCGGGCATGCTTGCAGAATTTGTATGCGAATGGCAAAGCCTTGGGATAATAATATATGTTTTGCGGCGCACAATAGACAAGAGAGAGATTCGACTGCGAAATTTTCATGGAACACCCAGGAACACCCAAAGACACAGCGTTGTGATTAATATAACATTTATTGACATTTATGTTAAATGGTTGTCAAGCTTTTTTGAACACTGTAATAAGTTTTAATTTTCCGTCAATTAGATATGATTTTTAAAGAAAAATGTAAATTTGAAATAATTTGTCTTAAGAAATTTATACAAAAATCTATTAATTAGATTGCACGTTCTTCAGAAATTAAAACTTGACTAAGTTTAAAGATTCTAAGAAAAAGTTGTACAAGTTTTTTATAAATACACAAAAAATAAATAAATTTATCAAGCATAATCTGATAAGTAAAAAAAATGAAGTTTGTAAAAATAAGTTAGGAATTACATGGTATTAATGATCTTATTTTTAATTTGAAAAAAAAAGTAATTAAAGTTATAAAATTTTTAAATTTCAGAAATATTTAATATAAAAAACCATAAAAAAAATAAAGTGTTCTTTAATAGTTTTCTTCAACCATCACGGTTTTTGCTATTTCTTAAAAGTTATATAACAATTTTCAAAATATATATTACATCAAATAACTTCAAAACTGAAACTTGCATAATAAATTATTCCATTGTGCGTGGAGAAAAAGTGAAAACAGTATATTTGAAGATATTGCGTGAATTAAACTAAATTTAATCAAGACGATGCATCGATAAGTAATTATAATGCTTTTGTATAATTATATGCGCGTGTGCTTCGCAATTAGGGAACCAGAAACGCTGATTGCCGCCCCACAGCGCTAATTAGTTAGTGAAGGATGAAACTGAAACACACAAACAATGAATGGTCCTGACGCGTGAAAACGAAAACACTGCATTCATCATTTTATTTGACGTGTGCACATACCTCAAGTAAAACACATTACACCGCCGGGAATATCACAACAAGATGCTCTCTGGGTTGGACTCTCACGAATCGGCGCGGGGAAAGTTTTGTGATAATTTCAAGTGTTGACAATATCACAGATTTATTATACTCTAGCCGTGCCAAACCGAACGGCAATTATTGTCCTCTTACATCACCCGCTTGTAGAAGAGCTTTCTGTGTCAAATCAGTGACACTTCGTTACGCATCTGTCTATTTAATTCTTAAATAAAAATAATAATGACATCCATTGCTGCAAAATTATACATAATAGGGATCTGAGTTTGCTTGGATGATGTGCAATTATTTTATAAGTTTGAAGGACAATGTCCGTTTAAAAAATAATGATTTGCACGCATATATATGACGAGCGTGGAAAAATTGAACAAGTTTACAAAATTAAATTATAAAATATTCACTTGAATTTGACCTGTGCTTCATTTTATCGTCATAAATGATTATTGATTCATCATGAATTTCATTTTTTTTTTCAATTAAAAAATCCCACTATGTAAAGGGGATTATCACTTTCAGCACCTTGAAACGAAAATGAGCAAAAAATTAATTGAGAAATAATGCGGTCGACATGAGCAGGATTTACATCCACGGATCACTGGGGGATGACATCACTGGAAGCGATTATTTAGTTTTATGCAAAGCAGCCTCCACTGGAGCTCATCCTTTCACTTCCTGAGGCAACTGGTAAGGCACAAACACACACAGTAGCCCCTGCCTCGAGGTGTCTGCCCGCCCTACCATTTGATAAGACGTGCAGACGACTGCTGATTATTATACTTTAGATGCACCTCTCGTTGCCAGCATCCAACTGGTGGGAGGCTTGGCTATAAAACATCTTGGGTCTGGTGGATGATCACCAGTGCACCGACTTTTGGGATTCGTACAGCACACCTCACTCTCGCAGCTACCCACCCCACCTGGCGCACCACCACCGCGATATGCACTTGTGTCCCAAAATGAGGGTAAGTCAAAACAAATCGATCGGTTTCCAAATTTTCAAAATTCACGAATTTTCAATTAAGCTTGCTACTTGATTCCAAAACCCGAAAATTAGTAAAATTTAATCGGGAGACGTCAAAATGTGAAAGCAGCGAAACATTTTTTTATTTGCTTATTTAAAAAGTTGTTTAGAAATTGCAAATACTTCTAATTTTTACATAGAGAGAAATAATTATTTCCTGCTGCTTCAAATAAAGTAGTAAACATTTTTATTGTTATCCTAAAAGGTCATTATTTTTTTTAACCGAAAAGTGTTGAAAATTTTGTTAATTTTTTTTACTGCCAATAAAATTTTATTGGCTTTATGTATCCATATTTAAATTTCAACAACCGTAGTTGAAGTAATTCACAAATGATAATTTTAGAGGTGCAGTCTCAATAACAATCCACAAAGATGATCAATTACAGCGACAATGAGAAATGATTAGCCTGGCCAAGTTTTCAACGCAATTGCAATTATTTTGATTATTATACATACAGACAATGCCACACTTCCATAACTGATTGCTGAGCTTAGCGTAATTATCTCAGAGGGCGAAAGTTTTTTTACGAGTCGCACGCACTGCATTGTGTGTCGGGCGCTGTCGCTCATTCATTCAACAACACCAGACATACGTTCGCGCGTCTTCCTGATACCATTATTATTTGCCTACTTGCGGCGGATTCACGCCACAAACGCGAGAGATCCGTGATCTTTTGACTATGTCGTAACATCTTATAACAAAAAGATCACCTGCGGTTTCCGTATAAATGCAAACCATCAAAGTTATTACTTAATAATTTTCCTTATCAAAATATGTCAGACGGGTGTTTTTTTTTTAAATTAATTATGAAAAAAAATCTCATTTCAGGTGCTGGCAGCTTTGCTAGTTGCCCTGGCAATCACTGTTGATGCTGCGTCGACCGGAAGGAAGGGCAAGAATGCAGCGACCAAAAACACTAAACGAGAAGGTTGTTATAAAAAAATCTGATTCAATCGCTTATTAACTTTAGCTGAACACAATTAATCCACTCTTAAAAAAATAAGACTATTTGGAATTGCTTGAAATGTAAGAAAAGTAATTAAAAAAAAGATTTTTTTGTAATAATGAAGCAAAAAATAAAAATTACAAATGTATATTTAAAATTCGAATTTATTATAATTTCCATAGTCATTGTTTTATGCATAAAAGAAGAATTTTTTTTTTTTTTTTTTTTAATTAACTATCCGTTTTTTTCCTTTAAGCTCCACTTGGAAATTCACCATCCACCTCCTACGGCCCTCCAGCTTTCCAGCCCGGCAGGCCCATCAACACTGGCGCCGCACCTGCCTCTAACAGGAACAGCCAAACCGTCGCAACCTTTGGCTCGTCACAACCATCCAACACGTACGGCGCCCCCTCTCAGCAAAACCCCGGCTTCGGAGGTCTCAACGGAGGTCAAGGCAGCGGTCGTCTGCCTTCCAACTTTGGAAATGGAAATAACGCTCCTCGACAGTTCAGCGCCCCCTCTTCATCTTACGGCGCTCCCAACGCTGGACCTTCCGGTTTTGGTGGACAGCAGCCCTCGTCCACCTACGGCGCCCCTTCCGGATCTAGACAGGGAGCCCCCCAGCAACCTTCTCAGAGCTACGGAGCCCCCAGTGGCCCCCGCCAAGGTCCTGCTCCTCAGCAGCCGTCCCAAAATTACGGTGCCCCCAGCGGCTCTCATTCCAGTGGCAGCCCTCAGCAGAATTACAGTCCCCCTCGTCAGAATGCACCCCAGCAGCCCTCTCAAAGCTATGGAGCCCCTAGCGCCTCTGGACCCCGCCCAGCTCAGCCCTCTCAGTCTTATGGAGCCCCCAACTCCGGTTTTGGAGGACAGCAGTCTTCTGGACAATTCGGCGCCCCTCAGCCTCAGCAGCCGTCACAGCAATACGGAGCCCCTAACAATGGCCCCAGACAAGGTGGATTCGGTGGACAGCAACCCTCTCAGTCGTACGGTGCCCCCAACAACGCCGGTCCTTCCAACTTCGGTGGCCACCAGTCTACAAACCTAGCCGCCCCCGCTCCAGAAGCTCCTCGTCAGAATTACGGCGCCCCCAATGCCGCCCCCTCAGGAGGATTTGGTGCTCAGCAGCCTTCCAACTCTTATGGCGCACCCTCTGCTCCTCGTCCATCCACTCCGTCTTTCGGCGCCTCCAACGCTGGCTCTGCTTCCGGATTTGGACAGCAGCCGTCCCAGTCGTATGGCGCCCCTAGCAACGCTGCTCCTCAGCAGCCATCACAGTCATACGGAGCCCCTAGTGCAGGATTTGGACAGCAGCAGCAGCAGCAGCAGCAGCAGCAGCAGCAGCAGCAGCAACCTTCTTTTGGTTCCCAGAACAACGCTGGAGGCGGATACCCCAGCGGTGGTCCCAGGCAACCCAGTTTTTCGGCACCTTCTGCTCCTTCGTCCTCGTACGGAGCCCCAAGCACACCTCAGCAGTCCTTCGGCACCCCTAATTCCCAACAACCCTCTCAGTCCTATGGAACCCCCAACGCTGCCCCTCAGGCCCCGTCCCAATCGTATGGTACCCCCAATACTCCTCAGGCGCCTTCCCAGTCTTACGGAACTCCAAATGCGAACGCCGGACCCCAACGCCCATCCCAGTCTTATGGCGCACCAAACTCTGCTCCTCAACAGCCCGCACAGACTTATGGAGCGCCCAGTACCGGTAAATTATATTTTAAACACATTGCATTTAAGAAGAAAAATCTCGGATGACTCATTACTTGAAAAACTAAATATATTTTATTTTTAATCCAAGAAAATATATTAAATAATTGTTTAAATTTAAATGTCATATTTGTAAATTTTACTAATTAGATTTAAAAATCATTTTAAGGACACTTCGGACAAGGCCCAGCTACTTCCAACGTTAGAGATGATCCTAGGCAGAACGCCCTGAACCAACCTTCCCAGTCCTATGGTGCTCCCAGCACTGGTGGCTTTGGAGGACAATCTTCGAGCGGATTTGGGCAGAGCTTCTCTCAGCAACCTTCTCAATCTTATGGCGCTCCCAATGCTGCCCCTGCTGGTGGTCAACAGGGTGGATACCCTAGCGGTGGACCTCGCCAGACTGGAGGACAAGAGGGATACCCTAGCGGCGGACCGAGGCAACCTGAAGGACAGAGTGGCTATCCTCGTGGTGGGCCCAGCCAGGGAGGGTTCAATGCCCCCAGTGCTGGCGGAAGCTTTGGCGCCCAGCAGCCCTCTCAGAGCTACGGAACCCCTAACAATTTTGCCCCCTCAGCTCCTTCCCAGTCTTATGGAACCCCCAACCAGGGTGGTCAGCGCCCTTCTGGAGGTCAGTCCAACTCTGGCTTCGGCGGTAACGCCGGATTCGGTGGCTCATCCGGCCCATCCTCATCTTTTGGTCCCTCCTCCTCTCAAGCCCCTAGCAACAACTACGGTGCACCCTCAGGTAACACCCCACCGATAGCTGGTGGGCCTGTTTTTGTCAATAGTCAAGCTAACCCTCAGGCGCCATCTGGGAATTTCGGACCACCTGGCAATAGGCCAGGTGGGCTAGGCCCATTCCCTGGTGCCAACCCCAGCAATTTACCCCTGCCTAACCCTAACCAGCTTTCCCCCTTCCCATCTCAATTGCCAAGTGCTTTTAGTCAAGGACAAGGTCCGCCATCTAACGCTGGTCAAGGTTCAGCGACTAACACAGGTTTTGGTGGTCAAAATGGTGTGCCTTTTCAACAAGGCTCTAACCCTGCTTTTGGCAATCAGCAGCCTCCACAAACTGGAGTAGTAGCTGCGACGCCTTCTAGTCCTGCTTTCGGCCAAGGGCCAAGCCCTGGTTCGCTTCCTGGTGCAACTTTTGGAGGAACACCTCCTAATTTTGGAACAAACCAAACTCCTGTTTTAGCCTCCAACTCTCCTCCAAGGAACTTCCAGGATACCAATGGCCCATACCCTGCCGCAGGTGGATCTGCCAATGCCGACAGCGCACCTTACCCCCCTGCAGGCCCTCCTAACGGACCTCGATTCAACGCTGACCAGGGCAACTTCAACGCTCCCCAGAACAACTTCTCTGGAAACCAAGCAGCCCCCTCTCCCAGTTACGGCACCCCCTCTCACCGAGGACCTACTGGATCACAAGGATACAACTACTAAGTTATTAAAAACGAAATTATAAAACAAAATGTAATTAATCTTCCCTAGAAAACTCTTATTTGTACAAAGCTTGCACTCTTTCGCATTGCAATATTAATTTATGTTCCTCATTTTATACATTTTGTTGTCTCTTTGTAAACAAATAAAGAATTTATATTTTGAAATGTACTTAAAAAGTGTTAAATTTAAACTGCCAATGGAAATTAAATAAGTGTTAGCATTTCATTAATGAAAAAGTTGAATGCTTTACAGTTATTCTACTATTTATTCTTAAATCTTATACGGAGTATCGAATAGCATATTATTTAAAATTACGATCATTTTAACATTTTTCTCTCGCCACAGAAGTTTTTGTTAGCAAGATATAAAATGACTTTGTAGTCCATGATTTAATGAAAATTTCTTTAATTAACATGCAGAAACAAAGTGCACTTTCTCCAATGAATTTTTACTATCATTAAAACGTAAGTGATTTGTCCCAATAGACGTCATTAGCGTAGAGAAACAAGTATTTGCAATTGAGACATGCTTGAAATAGCCAACTCCTTGGACAATGATTGGTCTTACACAGTAATATGAAGGTTTGCATGAGTGCTGTTTCTTTAGTCACTAATAAAGTGTTTTAATTGTCACCAGCATCGCCATCATCATGGTTGGATTGGTGCCAGGTAAGTCGCTCTTCGTAGAAGGCAATCACGACTTGAGGACACTCCTTGTTGGCCTGGCGGGACGGGACAAGGTCTGCCTCATCGGTGCCTTTCCTGTGAATTCAAAGTTAAAGAGTCAATATAGTGATCTATACATAATCCAAAAGCAAATATTTTAATTTTTTTTAAAGGGATTGACACATACCACTTCATCAAAAACATAAGTTCCCCGCTGGAATCAGTGGCACCAATGATTTTCTCGGGTTCCAAATTTCTGGCGAATCCTCTTGGCTTGGAATCCTCCTACAACGAACATTGTATTTTATCAACTTCGAAAGAACAAAATTTGTGTAATTCTTTACCTCCGGTGCTTTTTTCTTGGCAGGTGGCTTGGGCTTATCTTCTGGGGCGGCAGACCTCTTCTTAGGCTTTTCTTCCTTTGGTGCCTTAGCAGCTTCCTTCTTCTTACGGTTGTTCTCAAACTCGCTAATCAAATCGGGACAGTCGAGATTCTCCTCAGGTTCCCAAGTATTGTCGGCACTTTATTTTTTAAAATTAATTACAAAATACAAGGCAGACTATTTTGACTTTACTCAGAGTAGCCTTTCCATTTGAGAAGATACTCGACTTTGGATCCTCGCATACGTCTGTCCAAAACCTTCTCCACTGAGTATTCTTCCTCCTCCTCGGCATTCTCCTCAGCATTGGGCGAGTCATCGCGTTTCTTAGACGTCATGCTTGTGTTGAAAAATAAATAAATTTATTTTGTATTCTTACTAAGCTGCTAAACAAATTAAGTTTAGAAAATTATGAAATTAAAAAAATCTCCAGTTTACTTAATTTAAAAATGATTTCAAATTTAGGCTCTTTTCATTTTTGTCTTTTAAATTTTTAACATCTTGATCGTGACTACGACATAATATTAGGAACTATTTTAACTCTTACAATTGAAAAATTCAACACATATAATATCAAGGCCAAAATTTGAAAATGAGAATCTTCTACATAAGTGCTTATCACATCCCTCCCTCCATCATAACATTATCAACAATTTAAAACTTCAAACTAGACTCGAAAATCCCTACTGAACTAGAAAACAAGGAGAATATCACATTGAAAACAAGAAGTGCATACTGTGCGAATTATCTTTCAGTTTTGCAATAATAATTATATATAATTAAAGGGCTGCTCTCGTAAAGGCAACATGGCAACATTTTTAGAAGGGAAAAATCAGCTATTAAACGTCTAGCAAGCGATCTCATTTGTTGATTCTACCGTCACAGACATATTAAAATACATAAAAAATGGAAAATTATAAAGAATTAATCTCGAAAACGGTTTAATTTGCAAAGACTTCGAGCGCACTAAAATACGCGGGAAAGGCCATGCACGGCGTGCACATCTTGGCCAGAATTTCCAGGTGGAGGATGTCGTAGAAAACCAAAACTGTTCATTCAATCGAAACAGGAAATCGCAAAGCATGAGAAAATTGCAGCGTTTACCTGATTTAATGCGAAAATCGGCCGAGGGAAGCAAATTTTGCCGGAATTCGTGTTTAGCGTCGCGAATTTAATGGATTTTGGTCGATCGTCTTCTGTTTACATTACAGTTTACATCGCGTTCGCCGGTGGCGGCAGCGGGAAATCTACCAAAGTTTGAAACTTTATTGCGCCTACAGCTGGGAATGTAAACAAACGTAACAGTCAGAGTGTTTTTGGTTTTTGTGCATTTGATATGATTTCATAATCATGACACAAATCAAACTTTCATCATATTATTATTACAAAGGAAAGTTTCTGACTCAGAACTCCATTATTTTTTAAGTGTAAGTAAAAATACATACACAATAAAAGTGCGTATATGTATATGATGTCTTTACACCCCGTTTGGATGAAAAGTTTAATTTTTTGATAGTTTGAGACGTTTGATACTATTATTCCCTATTTATAATCTTAAATTGTACAATATTATTTATGTGTTATTATTTTCTAGAATTCGTCATATTCATGGCGAATCTTCTGCGATACTGGGCCACAGGAAATGTTAGATACGACAAGGCGTACAAAATCCAGAAGGCCCTGGCCGCCAAGCACCTCACCAACGACCCTCAGAATGTGATCCTCTTAGTCGAGCACCCTCCCGTCTACACGATCGGAATCCGAACAACCTCCTACTCTCCAGAAGAGGAGGAGCGACTGAAAAAATTAGGCGCCGACTTCCACAGGACCAATCGAGGGGGCCTTATCACTTTCCACGGGCCCGGACAGTTGGTGGCCTACCCCATTTTAAACCTCAAAACCTTCGACCTTGGCGTCCGCCGATACGTCTGCACGATTGAGAAAGCCGTGATACAGACGTGCAGACACTTTGGAGTGGACAATGTCCGTACGTCGGATGAACCCAACGAGACGGGGGTCTGGGTCGGTAATGCCAAGGTCTGCGCCATTGGCGTGCATGCCAGCAGGTTCATAACTAGTCACGGACTGGCCCTCAACTGCAACACAGACTTGTCCTGGTACGACCATATCGTCCCGTGCGGTCTGGTGGGAAAGGAAGTTGCTTCAATCAGCAAATTACTCAACCGGGAAGTGTCCGTCCAAAAGGTGGCCCCTGTCCTTGTGGGCGCTTTTTGCGATGAACTGAATTGCAGCGCGAGCAACTTTACCTCCGAGGAGCAGCAAGAGATATTGAAGGAAATTTCCTGATTTAGGTTCAACTATGGTCAGTTAAAATTTTTTATTGTTTGTTTTTTTAAGTTTCGGTACAAATATTTTTATTTTTACACGAAGTTGTTTTTCACTGCTTTGCCAAATACACAACGCGAGTACATTTCCAAGAGCCAGTCCGGTTTTCGCTCTTTAGTATTGCATCGACTTTTACATGCTTGCTTTCCTGCTTGACGAATTTGAATTGTGCTATTGCAACATAATAATTTGAAGCAACAATATTTCCTTAATTTTCTCACCACCTAAGTTTATCTTGTGTTATTTGAATTAAGGGGTTCCAAGCTGAGGAATTTAGAGCGGCTACCTTAAGATCTTCCTACTAAAACAGTATTTTATCTCTAGTTGTGTAAAACAGCATGTCATTAAAATCTCCCTAATTCTTTGGGCAGAAAACAGTTTATAATTTAAACGTTTCCATATAATCTCATTGAAATAGAAAATTAAAATCTTAAGCCACTTTTTAAGTTGGCATTTTAATAATTGAACTTTTCAATTAAAAAAAAAACCCCACATAAATTTAAACAAAAACACAACAATTTGTCTGTAAATTAAAAAATTATTTTAATAATGACCCTAAATTAGCTTAAAAAATAATTGTAACTTATTTTGGAAGCGTTCTGGCACAATGGAACATTTCATTCGTAGACATCTAAACTTACGTTATAAACAAATATAATTTTTACAGGGTCCTCATAAACTTTTACATAGATCTAACAATGAGTGTAATATTTTTGCTCTAAATTACACAATTAATTGTTGATGCTTTACTAGATGATAATCTCGCTGTCGATGGAAAAACAAAAAACTCGCAAAAATCGATTTTGATGCACTGCTTCCTGTCTTTTGGAATCCACTTTTTCATATTTTGTTGTGTGTGAGTTGGTCAGAGTAAGACAGAGAAACAGCAAGACACAATGATATCACAATTAAAACCATTATACACCGATGGCTTATTATGTATTGTTTTGCACGTCCCGGCGGAAAAAGCGTTGTTAGTCCTGAATATATCATTACTATTTATTACAACCGTTGCATTATGAGGCCCGCAAATTATGAATCGCACCAATGATTTTTTCAGTCCACTTATTGCTGTTCTTTTCCAGCAGCCATCACTTTTGAGCTGTTACGGCAGGGGTGAAGAGGGAGAGATGTCGTCAAAGAATCGGAGCGGCTTGTCGTCCACGGGTGAGTTTTCTGAGGAAGAGGATGGGGCAATAATTGGCTGAAGGGAGGTTGTTCTCGTCTTGTGCTGACTTCCACTGCTTCCAGGTTGAGAAACTGGCTGAAATGAAAAAAAAAATGAGCAATTAAAATGAAGATAATAATTATATCATGAGTAAAATAAAAAAAAAAATATACTTTTCTTTTTAAATATTTTTATAAAAAATATTTTTCATAATTTCCAAATAAAAAATTACAATTTATTATTCAGCAAAGCATAGTAAAAAATTAAAGTATTTCATTATCACAGTGATAAATATTTAAGGCATTTAAGGAAACCAAAATCAATTTAAAACGTATTATTTTAGTACAATAATTATTTTTCTTTTTTGCACACAATGTTTACAAAGTTGATGACTAAATATTGGTTTTCATTTCAGTAATTACCTCAACCAGTTCTCGGACAGATGGCAGCAGGTCGTCAGTGGACAAAGGAGTTCTGCACGATGCACTGAAACTACCCCTCTCAAAGCTGCCTGTGCAAAAGCTCCCGCTGCCCAGAGAGGACGAAATCAAGTTCCCTGATGAGCCCTTTTGCAAATTCAACAGTGGCTGTTGATTAGGCTGCTGCTTCATCTTCATCAGCTGCCGTTGATATTTCCGCTCATTCTCCTCCTCGAGACGGCGCACCCCGTAGCTCCGGACCGACGAGGAGCTACTGTTGTACGAGGCTGTGGATGGCCGTCTTGACCCTGAAACAAAAGTGACTCGTCAAAATTGTTAACTTTGTCCTACAAAAGACTGGTCCCATAGAGTGCTGTGTGTTTTAAAATTATATTAATTTAAGGGGAATTTACGTCTCACTGTTGAATTTTAATGTACAAAAAATAATATATTAAAATAGAAGTGCAGAAGAGTTTTACCTGCATATCCTGTGTGTTTTAATTGTTTTTTAAAGGGAAGATACATAAAGTAGAGATTAATTTTGAGTTCTGTGCAAATCAAGTCAAGATGCATTTTTGTATAGTTGCAGAGTATATTTCGAAAAAGATAGAGTGAAGCAAGAAAAATATATGAAAATAAACAGAAAACGTTTTTAGAACTGCGACCGATTTGAAATTGAGATGTTGACGAATATAAATGGACAATGGGCTTATTAGTTACTATTTATTATATATGAATTATTTAAATACCAATGGAGATTTGCGAGTTTATAGTGTGTGCTGGTTGATGTTAAGTAGTGCCTGATGCAAAATAAGCCATGCACATTTTTTTCGCTCCAGCTGTGGTGTATGTCTTGTGATATTTTGGCAGTGCGAAATGCAAAAGAGTAGCAAAAAGAGGATGTAAAAGAGTGGATGGCATTGCTTAGAAAAAAAGGAATCAACCTGGTCGCCAACCTATAGCTAGACACTTTAGGAAAGGGAAGTAATAAATAGAGAGGTGACTCATGATCATGAATGAGGCCAGCAGAATGGAAAATCATAGAAAATATGCAGCACATGAAATGATGGGGGGAAACATCAATAATGAGGTCACATATCTTTCATTTTTTGTGATATATGAAAGATACTCAATGAGAATGCAAAGTAGGACGACATGATTTGACAGGCTGACAGATATTCGCTCGCAAGACTCAAGAATTATCCCCACATTTTTCATTATTTAAGACAATTTTTTTAGTTTTTACAATTTAAACCGTCCAGTTTGGCAAAGGTTCGGTGAGAACAGAAATAATAAAAATTGTGAGTTGGGAGAATGATGTGCATTTTTTTAATATTAATTTTCTGCTTTTATTTAGTGTTTCCTGGACAGTCTAAAATTACATTTAATTTTTAATGCAAGTTTCCGTTACCCCAAATTAACTTTGAACCATGCCAATGACTGACACCAGTTAATGGTTGTTAGATCAGCCTGCTGATGTTCATCACCTCTAAACTTATTACAGGCCTTTGACTCGTCTGGCAGAGTTGACAACTCGTCGGCATCATCCATCTCAAAAAACATGTCATCCATCTCGTACTCCTCAAGCTCCTCCTCAGCTGCTTGCCGAGAGGTGCTGGCCACTGGGTTGTGGTCAAAGTGACACGAGATCAAGAGAATGGCCGCCGCTCTGGCCGCACCTGCTCTCGAAGAACTGCTGTGGCCGCCGCCAATCAAACCCAGGGAGCTGCTGGCCCTTCTCGAAAAGGGAGGGGCGCTGTGGCGTCCAGAGCTGCGGGACGGTGCTCGCTGGACAGCCAAAGGGATGCCTGCGAAATTAAACCACTCATTACTCCAATTGTGAAATGCAACAAAAAAATTGGCTTCTGTGTATAAAAATGAGAAAGTAAAACTCTCTATATAGTGCAGTGTAAGCGGGTCGCAGAGAACAACAGAAATATGAAGCGGTCACACAAATTGGCTTTCCAATGGAGCAGTGTGGCACACGTTTTTCAGATTTTATGGAGCATTTAGAGATTCAGACCGGCAGCAGCAGTAGTAAAAATGGGCTCAGTCTGTTATCTATTTTATAGCAGCCGCCACGGTTGGCTTCTTCTCTATTTATTAGTGATTAGCGGACATAAATTTTACTGGCGTTTTAATGGCCCGTCAGAAAACACAAAGCTTTTAGAGTTTTAAACGTGTTATGTTGCACATTACTTGACCAAACAGCAACAGACGGCAACATAGCTCAAGCCAAACTATTACATCATTTTCAAAAGAATTGACAAAAAAATACACATTTATAAGTCCAACATTGACTGTATTATAAATTTATTAAAAAAATGGGTGTAAAGTTATATAATAGGGTTAAATTTTTAAAACTTTAATCAATTAAATTTTTATTATGCTATGCGTGTTGCAAAGATAGTTATAAATTGTGATGTCAATAATTCAATTCAATTTATTATTTTTATTTATAATCATTGTTAAATATTGAGAAACTGATAATGTGTTTTTGATCAGAAAGGATGATGAGTTTGCAACCTGCGAAACACTTAAGTCGAGCGTGTTGCATTATAATTTTAATTTTGAAAGAAAGCGTTGAAAATTATTATTCTTGGTATTATCAACATTGCGCTCTCGTAGTGAAAAAATTTTTAAAATATAATTTTAGAATTTATTGATTAAGGAACTAAATGACTATTCTAAATTGGAAATAATCCACCTAGTACTCAAATAATAAAATACGACAAAATAAATAATGAGGTAAAAACACCGATCAGGAGGAAAAACATCCAAAATTGGGCCACGACAAAACTATAGAACGTCAGATTTTCAGGACTTACAACACGTTACGTACACGTACAGAGAATTTAAAGCCTGGTGGTTTTAAGGACAGTATTTCTGATGTTACCGAGGGGCATCAGCTCTTGCAAATGCACACTGCTCCTGGCTTGGCAAATTTCGGCCAAGTCTGTGAGAATCGGCCAAAATTGATTTAAAATTACAGAAGCTCGCTGGTATGAAAAATGTGGAGAGAATGAAAGTTGTCTATGTTTGCAAAATGTTAAAGGTTCTAATTGGCATAATAATTAATCTACTGTCTGAGAGAGAGCAACGAGTGTGGGTAAATATTCATCAAAATGGAACGGCACGCACCTGTCTCGCTGGCGAAGAGGATCGGCGGAGGCAGACCGGCGTTGGCATAATGCCGAGGCGGAGAATACCGCGCCCTGCTATACAGCCTCAGCACAAAGCAGATGAGGCCCGTGATCACCGCAATGCCCGCGGCCATACCGAACAGTGTGTGCAGATCTGTTCTAATCACTATGATGTCTGAAATGCAAAACAGCAGAGAGCGTGTCAGTGCACCTGAATGAGCACCATGCTTATTGATTAGAAGTGAGCTCACCGTCTTCAGCAAGTGTTTAAAAATTAATAAATATGAGTCGTAATATGGCAGAGCACGAGATCTATAAACTATATGCGTTTAATTTTCCAAGTGGGTTGGATTTTTTTACACTTTATTCAAAGAGCAAATAAATAAGAAAAAACTGAAGAAATCATAAATTTTGTATCATCTTTTAGGTTCAAAATAATAATAAATGGTTGATTTTTTTAAATTACTTTGATAATTGTGAAGTTATTTTCTATTTTATATTTGTCTTAAAAATAAATTAGCCTTGAAAATTTATGCAAAATTACTTCAGATTGCTTATTTTATTTCATAAATAAATTTACCGAACAAAATTATTACATGCTTCAGAGGAAATGAAAAGAATTACATATTTTGAACTGACATTTAGAGATAAAAAATCGATTTAAATTTACTTAAGCAAAATTATTTTCAATAAAATATTTAAGTGAAATTAATTTTTCTTCCTATTTAGCAAAGGTTAGTGATTTTTTTCTATTAATTTATTTATTAATTGAAAAAAAGTTTTTATGGAAAAAAAACAAAATTAAAAGGAAGAAAAACTTTCAGGTTTTGAAATATTTTTGCGCCAATGTATAAATTCATCAGCAATGAAGCAAAAGTATTGATCTCCACTGTCTCTTTTAATTTCACCTGCCCTGCATAACGCTCGAGCAAATCACTTTCCGCCGCAGTGTGCTTGCTCTCGCTAGGGACGTGTGTGGAATTTAATTAAATATATGTGTTGATACATATATAGGAATTTAGTATGTGCAAATGTACACACATACCTTCGGAGCAGAAAACGCGCTCGCGGGGTTTATTCAGCGCCACAATGTGAAAGCCAGGCTTGCACTGGCAGATGGCATTGTGGTGTATCTGGATGCAGGCCGAGTGCAGCTCGCTGAAGCTGCATGTGCGGTCATGGAAGCACTGCTCACCTAATCTCACCGCTGCAAACAGAAGTGCATAATTTCAGCATCAGTCGATATGTATTGTGTTTTATGCAAAGCGTGCTGCCGCATTCAATTAATTGAGCGCACATGGCACCAACAGGCAAACAACAGGAAGGATTTATTTCACTGCTTACTATTTACCTTGCTTTCATTTCAGAAATGATAAAAATCAATTAATCCATTGTGACAGTTAATGATTTTTTTGAGCTCAATTATTCACAAGAACAATTTATCAATATATCAATGCATGTCGTTGTATTATATTTTTAGAAGTTTTAAATTTATGTAAATAAATTTTAAAAATGTTTTGAAACTATAAATTTTCAACTAAATGCAGGGTACATTACTTATTATTCTTAAATTTCATGGAATTACTTTTTATAAAACATAAATTAAAATTTAAAATAAATTAATTTATTATAATTTTTTTTAAATAATAATAATAATAATAAAAATATAGTTTTTTAGTCAGCAAAAATTCATAAAGTAAATCATATAAAAATAAAACATTTTACATAATTATTTAAAAAAAAAATATTAATGAAATAATGGTTTTACATATAATTTTTTTAATTCGATATAATTTATAAAAAAAATTAACTAATAATAAAAACAACATTCAATATTTTAGCAAAGTAAGAGGATCAATACATACAATTATTTTCATTATTTTGATACTCACGTTTGGCACAACCGACTGTAGGCGAAAGGCGAACGGGGTGCGTTTTTTCACATTCGCAAGTGTGCGTCTCCTTGTCACAGTAGACGCCTTGCAGATTCGGGCTGCACGATTTATCACAGCCATCTCCTAAAAGTTGTCCAACTCCTGCAACATGGGACAGAGGAAAAGTAGGTTAATGCGGATCATGAAGCGACAAATAACAGGAGATGTACACATAACAAAATGTAATTAATTTGCTCTGGCCTTAATCCTTGAAAACGGAATTAGTTTTTAATTATATCCTATTTGATGATAGACAAAGGATGATAATAGAGACACGAGATGTACTTTATTGTATAACATTTTGTTACAAAGCTAAGCGTATGCGTTGGCAAAAGCGTAAAGCCCCTTTAATCGATTTAGCTAGGCAACTAGCATAACTTTCGTGCTAAGCCAGTTGCATAACGTTGGTTTATTTTTAAATTTGTATAATATAGAAAAAACACTTATAAATTTCGGATTTTTAGAGGTCATTTTTTTAAGCATCATCCCTAAAATTGCCTTTATTAATTTTTTGATCAAAAATATACAAAAAGGGAAAACCATTTTGTGTTTTTGATTGTTGCTGGGCAACAATTGAGAGTTAAAATAATGTTGCAAATATTCGTGCGACAATGAGAAAATCAAATGAAAATTTCTATTGTTGAAAATTCTCAGCTTCGGCAAATTCAAAAAGTTGTTTAGAAATTTCGGTCGAGATTCAAAATTCAACAGCATGTCCGCGATAGACTTTGATTCTGAAAATGAGCGGCTGAGGCAGCGCAGCCTTCACTCGGAGCAAATAGGCCGCGGAAAGGTGTCCCGCGGCGCCAAGTACGCCACTTTGCGCGTGTTTGACACGTTGCAGGACTCGGAGGATGAGTCGGATGACAGCGAAATCAGCCTGGGTGACATGTCGGCGGCGGCGGAGCCCCAGTGGCCACCGGAGAACGAATGGGACGCGAATTACTTCATGACACACAAGAACAAGAGTCATCTGGATATAATGAGGGCGGCGCACGAGGCGAAAAATAAAGAAGAGAAACGAGCGGAAAAGATCAACCCCGAACAGGTGGTGCAGGTGCTGAATGAAACGGTGCACAGTCTGGTGCAGCCTGAGTCGCAGCTGGAGAAAAAAATCTTGCAGAAAGTTGCAGAATTTCTCACGGAAAATTCCGAAGCGAGAAAAGAGACGGAGTTGCTGGCCGGCATTAGCGAGAAAGTGGCCAAATTGAAGAGTTTGGCCGTGGCGAGCGGCAACTGCTGTGGAGCAATGAGGGAAATTCTCCAGCTGCTCGAAGGTCGATGGCACAAAACTGGCAGAATGAGCGTGCCCCATAGTGCCGAATACATTCAAGACACAGAAACGCACGTGGCTGAAGTGGATCGACTTTTGAAGGAGGTGTCTGAATTGGTGTCACGCGAGGAGGAGGCCATTGCTGCGCTTTCAGTCCAACGGAAGAAGTCGCAAGACAAAAGGGCGACCTACACCCTGTCATCGCCGACCCGCAAAGACCTTCCTGAAATCTCAGACGCTCTCCCTTCGAAAACTCCCCGAAAGCAGAAATCGTTGATTCCGAGGCCAATCTCCACTCAGCCTCCTGAAAAACGACAATTCCGGCCTTCCGCAAGCAGTCGGAAAACTCCGTCTACTTTTCGTCAGGTCTCCAGACCTCCCTTCCAGACACATTTTGGCCGAAAATCAGCAACCGAGCCTAGGTCTGCTGAACCTTCATTCCGAATTTTCACAACCGCCTCCGCCTCCAGATTTCAACAGCCGAAAATTACCCCGTTGATGCAAATTCCGCAAAACGCCCAACCAGGTATTTTTCATATTCGATTGAAAATTGTAAAAATCATGGAAATCATTTATTAATTAAAGATGAACATCTTTACAGTGCGTAATTCTCAAAACTGAATTTGCATTTTATTAATTTTCTCTTGGAGGATGTTGAAATTTTTCTTAAATAAAATAATTTTGAATTCTTTAGCAAATAAATTAATAGATAATCATTTTGTGCTTACTTCTATAATATTTAACACATCATGAATTAATTTGAAACACGTTTTTTTTTTTTTAAATTTTTTGTGTCTGCTTATTTTTAAGACCACCACCACTTCTAACCAGCAGGTAGACAGACCGCCCTTCAAAGGGTATTGGAGATGAACCGGAAAGTGATGCAGGTGCACGCAAAGGTGACCATTCACGCCCAGAATCTCACCACGTACACGCAAACCACACTGGACATGCTGAACAAGTACAAGAATCCCCTGAGCAAATAAAAAACAACTCCTAAAAAATTCCGCAGTCGCAATTGCAAACGGGCAGTTTTATTTCGGTACTTTCTTTTAACTTGAATAGTGACCCACTTTGCGTCGGTAGTAAAGGTTAAATTTACAGCACAGACACCAAATCTGCCGACGAGAGCGAATTTTACCCCAAGAGTAAAAATTGCAGCTGGGCCAGAGTGTATTTACGACTTCGATTTTTAAGGCGCCGGAGCAAAGGTCACACTCGGGCGTGAATTCACACAGGCTTTTTTCGCGCACATATTGTTACAGGGGCACCCCCGATTGGGGGGGGGGGGTGAATTCGCTGTGCGTCACTTCCACACGCAAGCAGTCGATTTAATTTGTTAATCAGAGGGAGGCCGCGCTTTCAGGATTCACATTCATGCACACAATCGGCCGTACGTTTTCGGCCAAAACTTGGAGAAGGGACGCGCGAGTGAAAAGGGTGCGTCAATAAAATATAATACGTCGCGTGGGGTTGCACACGTAAGCAAAGCTAACGGGCGCCGCCATCCATCTTTCAAATCCCAGCCGTTTTGCAACTTTATCCCGGCTCCGTTCGAGGAGCTTAATGGTCTGTTTGCTTTGCGGCCATTTACACACAAACGTATAAGCTGAGATATGCAACTTTTCTGGAAAGTATATCGCTTAAAAAAAAGACAATAAAACCACTGATCATTTTTTTTTTTTATAAAAAGAATTTAAGCCCAATCTGAAATAATAAAGTTAATATCAATTTAATCCTTTTGCTGATAAATAATTTTAATTTGTAACAAAAATAATGTTTGGTGGATTTACTTCTTCATCAAACTTGAGCTAAAACACGTTTTTAACTCAATTTTTTATTATTTCAAAACTAATTTAACTGAATAAATTTATAATTCTCGGTCAGTTGTGATATTTGAAGTGCCAAAACCTTTGTTGACACCAATCGAATTTTGTTTACACCCGCCGTAAAAGCTTTATACTTGCATGTACATCGCCCTTTACACCCTTTATATATCTCTGTACACATTTCAGTGGTCTCTCGTTTTGACGAGCCCACGCGGATTATCGATTGGGGCCGCTGGAAATGTCGCTCTTGCCGACTGACGGGGAATGAGAGAATCCACCCCCGTGTGTACACACAAATTCGCATTGGTGTGCTGCGTTTTATTCGCCAGTGGTGCACGAGGTCGTGCAGAGCAAATCACGAGATTGGTTTGGTGGCCGTGGTTTTCTGTTTGTCACTCTGGTCGGTGCTCACCCACACCGCGCCTCACAAAGTTTGCATGCGTTCCGCAGATGAAACGCACAACAATTTTAATGAGACCTGGCTGGCTAGCTCCACGCAAAGACCAGGAAATTCCCTTGGTCTTCTTTTAACCCTTGCTTGATTACGTAATAGTTCTCCAATAGTCTGGAGCCAATTTTTGTTCAGAAAAAATATCAAAAAATGGGAACTCTCATTCAGTATAATTATATATTTTTAGGTTAATCCACTTTTATGAACAGAGATCATGGAGTGGAAAAGCCACTGAAACAGCCTCGTTATGGTAATTGTGCAAACCTGGTATATAATATTGGGAAAAATAAAATATTTATGATAGAATAAAATGGTCGGTTTAAAAGGCAGAATGTTCCTGATTTCAAGATAAATAAAACGTTTTTCACTTTAAAATAAAAACAACGAGGAAAAAACCCTTGAATGCTACATTATTGAAGGGAAAAATTAAATATTAGTTCACCATTAGAAGATGAGGAAAATATTTTAAAATATCAAATCATGCTTAAACAAAGTCATGATATTAAAATTTGCAATTTAATTCTTTTGAATTCAGGGCAAATGACAAATTTCAGTTGAGTGTATTTTCCTCCACGTTCCCAATAAAACGAACCTTTTAGAAGAGCCTTTTTGATTGCCAGTAATTGCTTTCTTTTAATTAACTTTCAGTCGAACGGTCGGTAGCTGGCTGTTTTCAATAAAAACTTCATCATTGTGTTTTGGCTTTTAATGGGTATGCGAGTACGCCGAGCCAATTGCGACCAGCAATCGCAATAAGAAATCAATAGCCAGAGGCATCCAGCGCAGGGGGGTAATCAAATAAACCGAGCTACCATAGCTCATCGTACAAGCTGCAATAATTAGATTTTGTCATCGTCGACTCGAGAGGAGCCATTAGAGGCTCTGGAGTGCGTTTCTCGCAAATTCGCCACTCGAGGCTTATTTTCAAGGAGCAGCACAGCAGCAGCAGTTATGTGCAATTTGCAGTGTCGAGTCAGGAAGTAGCTGCTCCCTATGTAGTACACACACATTGTTGGGAGCCGACGGTGCGCCGGCGGAAGGCTCGGCGACCGGCCCCGATCGATACGCAGCGTGAAACTGCCTCCGCCTCGAGGGATGGTCTCGCCTGCAGTAATAACATCATCGACTCGCCAAATCACATTCCAAATTCACCGTTAAATTATAAAACAAAGTGCACGCACAAAATCAATTCGGATTTCCCTAACCTCTAAAAAAGGCCAAAGAAAGAAATAGAAAATTATTAAAATATGCAAGGTATTAAAAATTTTTACTGCATTTTGATACACTGCCTTAAAAAAATTGTAATCTTTTGTGTTTCCCTATCAAAATGACTGTTGGTAAAGTAGCGAGAATTATTCTAATAAACTTTCATTTAATTATTAGAATAGCATAACAAATGGACATTCAATTTGTATGCATTTTTCTCCAATAATTGAATGAATAATGGAAACTTAAACAATTAACAATAATAAAAAGTGAGACAGTTGATATTTTAGAGTCCCATGCATTTCATTGTGGAATTGGCTTGATTTGTTTGATACCCTTACTT